CTCAGAACCAGGCCTGATGGACTTTCCTCCAGAAAACTGGTCCCTGGCCTCCTGGTCTTTAAGGGTTAGTCTGCATAGCCAATGACAGCCCGTGGCAGTGAGCATTCAAGCCGGAATCGAGAGGCAGGACTGTTTTATAATTGGTTTACTAGATTTGCATCAATCCATTATAACAAATATATAATCCTAATTAAGTTAGAGACATTTTTATTAGACTTGGTTGTTTTGCACCACCTGAGACCATCTCTGTGCTGTCCAAATTCTGCCCGTACCGAAACCCAGGGCAGTCTTTCTATCATAATATCGAACCAGGGCTGCTCTAGCTGCAACCTTTTGCCACAGTGGTGGGTAACCTGTTACCCAAGTACCACGTGTGGCCCATAAGGGTTCCACATGTTGCCCGCAAGACATTTTGTTTACCGTTGCCCAGGTACAAAATTGCCAGATTCCACTGGTTTTCACCCACGCAGTTTTTTTTTCCTAACAGTATTACTAAAGTGACACGCATGTAAAGCAAGGGCACACGAAGTGAGGTGCCTGCTGATTGCTCACAACACTGACTGTAAGAGCCATGGGCTCCCTCTGTATCCAGTCAAAGCGCTGCTACAGTTTAGTCGGCCCACGCTGCAAATTCATTGGATCCATGCCACGCACAGTTGGTAAAATTACCCTATCCCATGAGACCATCTTGGTTATGACAAACTTGCAGCCCAGTGAGATAAAGGAGGGCCATTCGGTGGCCCATGCAGTAGACTAGGTTGCCCGTTGCTGTCGTGAACTACGAGCTGCTTCACAGACAGGAAGGCTTATTGCCCTCAGCACCACAACCACTCTCTCACCTATCCCTTGCTACACCCCTCTGTGAGCCAGCACACTCTCTATAGTGGTGGTGGTGAGAAGGGATAGCCTAAGGACACATCTGACGGCCCTGCACTGCTTCTGCATCAGGTTTTCTCCCAGAATTGTGCTGCCCCTTTACAGTCACTAGGCACCAAAATATAGAGAGGCAGGTGGGAAGAATCTGGATCTTGCCATTTACTGCTATGGTAAAGGCCTAATCAATTCATCTTTTGTGCACACACAGAAATGAAACATTTGCTGATATCAAGAATAATTAACACCTCCAGTTCTGTTGTTTAAGTGCACATTATTTCAGTTGTAGGCATCTAGATTCAGACTGTTTTTGTATATTAATTGTTGTAACAGGTAAAATATTTGATTATAAATGCATCATCGAGAGGTGTCTTGTAAACAGCCTAAATTTCAGTTTAAATGGAGAGAAACTGAAAGTAAAGCTGTCACAATTCTATTTTTAGATGACAGCTTTTGGAGCATTCCTTCACAAAGGGTCTTTCTGCAGGAATTACTTCAATTTGCTGGACTTGCTAGTTGTGGGTGTTTCTCTGGTCTCGTTTGGGATTCAGTAAGTATTACTATTACACTGGAAGTAGCCTTTATTTTTAACTTGTGGCTTTTCAAGTGAAATTGGAACTTAGGATGGGATTAGATTCTGCCACTGTTATACATACCTTGGGTCTGGACATGCAGGGTCCATTCAGTAACTCCCCTTGCACCCTCCAGAGCAGTACAATGTGATATAGAAAATTTAATTCTAGTACAGTCAGCAGTAAATTACTAATTCCTGATCCTCACCCCAGAGCAGGGGAAGCTGAGGGCACTGTGCCTCAGAGAGGTAACTCTAGGGCACAATATGTCAGGGGTTGTTCCTGGATATGTTGCAGCTTAAGCATAAGGCTATGATTTTTTTTTGCCGAACATGTTAATACTTTTCCTGGCAGCGCTGCTGAGTGAGGGTGGGGTGAGCCAATCCCATGCTTTCTCTGCAGCAGTAGCTTCTGACTTATGAGGCTAGCACCAGCTCCTAGCTCCAGGAATTGCAGCCATGCTTATGTGGCCTCAGGACCTTTGGGATTTGGCACATCTGCCCATCTGTTTCCACAGTCTTTAATCAAATTCACGATTAGTGAGAATACCATGATCTCTGTGACAAAATAGTAGCTTTGTGACATTTAGGACAGTAATTGGTGATTAAGAGAGTTTTTCCCCTCTGTGATCATGCAAACCACAGCCATTGAAGAGTAGGCTCCAGTTCTCACTACTTTGTTGAGAACTCAATACTGCTTCACTTGAAATAAATAGTAAAACTCCCATTGATTTAGAAATTCCTTATTACACACCAAGGGCCTCAGTAAGCAGTTCCCCAGGGATTTTTTTTCTACTATTCTACTTATCACTTTTTGCTCTAGTATCTCATTAATTACGTTAGTCAACTTGGCAGGTGGCACCAGACCATCAGAAACTCCAGCCTGTGTTACTTAACACTGAGCAAAATGCTCTTATTACCTCTCTGACAAATAAAGGGCCTAGTCATAAGAGATTCTGAGCATCTCTTGTGTGATGTTGAACATTTTCATCTCTGCTGGACTGGAGATGACGGTGCTCATCATCTTGCAACAGGCTCTCAACATCTCATGGGTAGAGCCCATAGTTTGTCAGAGCAAAGTACTGAAGAATGCCTTTGCCATTATTTTTTCCCTATGACAAAACATGTCTGATCTATGGTGTATGACTAGCCCATGGAGTACAGGTTGAAACTCTCTAGTCCAGCACTCTTTAGTCCAGCAACATTCATGGTCTGGCATGGTTTTAGTTAGCCAGATGTCCACTTGCCATGGGCGTAGCCAAGTTTCCTGCAGTCCCATGAATTTTGTTTACAGCTATCAGTCCTGGCTCTCAGTGTTCTGTGCTGTTATTTAGCTCTAAATTATCCTTAATTATCTTCTAAGAGTCCAGCAAGCAGCAGAAGTGCTGGTCATGCTGCTAAGAGTAAGCATGTTTTTATGCCTTATCTACTTATTTCCTTGTGCCAGTACAGAAAAATTGTGTAACAGCACTAACATTTTGTTATAAAGAGAGTTGATAAACCTTGGCTATGCATAGGTTTATATAAGGTGTATCAGTACAGTCATACATTATTAAGCAGCATTGCAAGTATTGTTCTAATTATTTGCCTTGGTGAAATAAAAATAGACCCACTCACTACAATATTGACCTCCCGTGGTTCAGCAAATTCTCTAGTTCGCCACCAAAGGTTAAACCTGTACTAATTCCTAAGTTGCTCCTGAAACTAAGCTGAGAAGGACTTCAAAAAGCTAGCTTAAAAAATTAGTATTTACTCCAAGGGGTAAATAAGAATTTTTGCTTATAAAAGGGAACTGCATGAACATAGATAATTTTAATAAATTTTGTAACATAATAAACTTGGGAAGTAACAGACTAATGCTTGCTTTTCTTTCCCTCGACTAGATCAAGTGCTATTTCAGTTGTGAAGATTCTGAGAGTTTTAAGAGTCTTGAGGCCCCTAAGGGCAATAAACAGAGCAAAAGGACTGAAGGTTTTTATTTGTATTTTTTTCCAAGTTATGTTTCTTTATGCAGTGTACATTATTCTATAATAATTTTCCTTTCCTCTTTTCTTCACAGCATGTAGTTCAGTGTGTCTTTGTTGCTATTAGAACTATTGGTAATATCATGATCGTCACAACTCTGCTGCAGTTCATGTTCGCCTGTATTGGTGTACAGCTTTTTAAGGTAAATAAATAAATTCCTTCAAAACATAATCAGGCTTGATCCTGAACCAAGGCCTGCCAGCTGACTTCAGTAGAGGTCTGTGCTGAAACTGGGTTGTGCCCATGTGGAGCCAGTCACAAGATCAGGTTCTAAGTTTAGTTAATTTTCATGCCCTATGTTCCATCTACATCTTTTGGTTTTTGTCCAGGGAAAATTTTACCGGTGCACTGATGAAGCAAAACAGAATCCTGAGGAGTGCCGGTGAGAATTCTTTCATTGTGTGAATCAAAAATAATAATAATTAATAATAATTAATAATAATGTATATGTTTCTTTATAATACATTCATACTCTGAAGCAACAGAACACTGGAACAAAATTATAAATAAAACTAGACTCCAGCACATCAAACACAGATAGAGCAGACCCAACCCATTTAGTTTTTTATACATTAAAGCCAGCACCGTAAACCCAGAGACTAACAAACAACCAATCCATATCACAGAACACATGAACAGAGCTACACCAATTAACTGGCTGAAAAGAGCATATATCTCAGGGAAGGGATGGCATCATTCTGTGACTTATTGTGTGCTTCCCGAGTGTTATACAATCAGTTCCTGTTTATTTTCTTCCTCCATAGGGGAATATTCATCCTTTATAAAGACGGAGATGTTGATAATCCAATGGTTAGAGAAAGAGTTTGGCAAAACAGTGATTTCAACTTTGACAATGTTCTGTCTGCTATGATGGCCCTTTTTACTGTGTCTACCTTTGAAGGCTGGCCTGCGTAAGTCAACATTCAGTATTTCCTGCATATCCATAAAAGAGGTTGCATTTTTTCAAAATAGTTAAATAAAATTTAATTGACATTTCCTGAACGGCAAATAATCACATGGGCTTTGTAGAGTCTTCCAAATCCTGGCATCCCTTTACTTTCAATGATGTTAAGGGGAACTGTGGATCAGATCTTTTCCAAGGGGATCTGAAACCTCATTGTTGCTAATGAAGGGGGAATTCAGGCCTGTTAACATTCTAACTAGTGTAGTCTTTGCTTTGCAGTTCTGATTGCATTTCTTTCCTCCCTACCTCCATCTTTTGCATTTAGGCAGGAAGTCAATGGCATGTGGTCCAGGAAGCTTCTGTATTTCCTTCTACCTGCTTCTGAAATAGGCCAGATTTGCCATTTATAAATGAAGGAAGCAGAACTCATACAGGAGTGTCTTAACTATGCAGTGTGTTTGGGGTATTCCTTAGATTGTGTATCCAGGCAGTTCTACCATGTACTCACTATCTTTCTAGTCTTTTGTGGACCAGTGGCCATATACTCAAGGGACAGGTTTACCATGTTGGTCTTCGATATTATGATCTCACTGTGGCAAGTATAACTCAGTGTCTTTTTTGAAGTGGCTGTGCACACACTTGTAAGGCACAGTAAGTCAGATTTTGGTCAACATTCAAGTTTCCTTTTACAGGCCAAACCAACTGTCTTTTAAAGCAGGGGGTATAAATTCGATATTAGAATGAGGCCAACCAAAAATGTGGTCTTCAGAACATTAAGTGACTCCTGACTAGAGCATTTGCTTTTGTTGTTGTTATTACTGTTAAAATTAGAGGAATCTTTTAATATTTAGCTCTTCATCTTGCAGCCAAATAGTCTCTTTAGCTACACTGCAACTAATCTTCTTCACTTCTGCCTCTTTAAATAGTAAAACCATTTTTATTATTGAAAGGTTTTGGTCTTTGGATGAATTTTTTACTAACAAGCTTCAAATAAAGTAGAATAGATTTCTAGTTACTATCTGCTGATTCTAAGTGAAAATACAATCGTCCAGTGTTGTCATTTTAACAATAATTAAAACATATTGTTCTTTATTGTTTTTCAGGCTGCTGTACAAAGCCATAGACTCAAATGGAGAGAATATAGGTCCTGTGTACAACTACAGAGTGGAGATTTCCATCTTCTTCATCATCTACATCATCATCATTGCCTTCTTTATGATGAACATATTTGTTGGTTTCGTCATTGTTACATTCCAAGAACAGGGAGAACAAGAGTATAAGAACTGTGAGCTGGACAAAAATCAGGTTAAATTAAATAATACCTTTTTCAATTAGGAAATTATCCCTTTTGTGTTCATATCATACAGAAAAACAGCATCCACTGTGCTGTGGTTTCAGAAGAGGTCACTAGACAACAGCCTTAGTTGCACTATACAAATAAATATGAATGCCATAACTGAGATAATGTAGCACTTTAAAGACTAACAAGATGGTTTGTTGGATGATGAGCTTTCGTGGGCCAGACCCACTTCCTCAGATCATGTGATGGAGAAGAGTGGTCGCAGCTGTGTGTACCAAAGGATACAATTTAAGGGGATGGGCACATATGAAGAGGACAGGTCGGGTTTCGGAACAGAAGGGGGATAGGGGGGATGGAGAGGTGAATGTCTGTGGGCTAATGATATTAAGATAACTAGTAAGATAACTAGATCCTTTGTTTAGTCTCAGCCCACAGACATTCACCTCCCCACCCCTCCCTCCTCCTTCTGTTCTGAAATGTGATTTGTCCTTTTCATATGTGTTCATTTTTTTTAATTGTATCCTTTGGTATATATGGTTGTGACTATTTTCTTCCACTATTTGATCTGAGGAAGTGGGTCTGGCCCACGAAAGCTCATCATCTAATAAACCATCTTGTTAGTCTTTAAAGTGCTACATAGTCCTGCATTTTGCTTCAGCTACACCAGACTAACACGGCTACATTTCTATTACTATACAAATAAAGGCTTTCTAGTAAAAACTGGTTCTAACAGTTAAGGTCATCAGATAATACGTTTTTGGGTAGGGCCTAACATTTGGGTTCTTTCTTTCTTTGGGATAGAGTAATTTGCTAGTGACATAGGAAGGAACAGAGTACAGTTTCAAACATGCTTAAGGATAGACAGAGAGAGATCTTGAAACAGGGAGCAGAAATATGAACTGCAGCATGTACATATAATATTCTAGAATAGCCATTCCAAGAACAGGGAGAACAAGAATACAAGAACTGTGAGATGGACAAAAATCAGGTTAAACCGAAGGGTTTGTTCTACCTTCGTTCATTAGGAAAACTGTCAAAGTGATTAAACACCAGAATAAATTGCCTAAAGATGTTGTGGAATCTCCATCATTGGAAATTTTTAAGAGCAGGTTAGACAAATACGTGTCAGGGATGATCTAGATGGTGCTTGGTTCTGCCATGAGGTCAGGGGACTGGACTTGATGACTTCTCAAGATTCCAGTTCTAGATTTTATGATTTTATGATTTCATGTTTGTGAGGGAGATAGTCATTTGCACATGCAGAAAAAAAAGGTCTTTCATGAGCTTAGCTGTTTGACTGGAGAATGCAGCAGCAATTTTTGGACAGTAATAATGTTCCTTGAAGAACTGTACTCATATTCCATTGTAACATCTTTATTTTAGCAGGGATATACCTGCTTCAGTGGATAGCATTACTGATGTATTATGCTCTATGAATTAGGTATACTAAACACTCAGTTAAAAATCTGGTCAGTTTTAAGGCTTGGTCTGAACTAAAAATTCAAACCATAGTGTCAGAGTTGCCAGGTGTCTGGGTTTTGACCAGAAAGTCCAAAAAGGGGACTTATTCGCCAGGTACCAAATGCCCAGTTACCTGCAATTGGCTTCCATTCCACTGTTGGGAGAGCAGAAACTGGGAAGACCAGCTGCTGCAGGATCTGGAGGAGTATTCAGTAAGTGCACAGCGCCAGTAGACAGATATGCCAATGCCCTGGGAAAAGGATCCTGAACTGTGCAGCATTTCACAGGGGCATCAGGGCTGGTGGCAGGACTCACTGTCCAAACTCCCTTCTCAGTCTCCTGTGTGCCCCATCCTGGGTGTTTTCGCCCCAGTTGCCCCCTGTGCCAGAGTGTGGTTCTCCCTCACCCATCCTGTCCCACCCTAGAGTCCTGATCAGCTAGTGAGGTGAGGATGGTGAAGAGAGCAGCAAGTGATGGTGGGGAGAAAAAGAGGCAGAGTAAAAGGCGGGCCTTGGGGGTGTTTTATGCTTAAAAGAAGCACACAGGATCTTTTTCAGGGGGATAAGGAAACATGCCACATTTATTGATAATATAACAAAGTAGCATATACATTTACACACACACACACACACACACACACATGCACACACATCCTGCTGATGGAATAGTTACCAGTCTGTTGCTTGGCCCACCCTATTGGCCAGAAAGGTCAGATGTGAGGTAGAAGCCGGGTTCATGTCTGTCCGGACTGATGTCTCTCCTGGTCTTGATCTTAGCAGGACAGAATCTGAAGAACCATACAAGACACCTCATCTTTTATAGGATTTTCCTTCCGTCCAAGTCCATGCATTTTGCCTTGTCAGGCCATAATTAGTCATTCAGCATCACAATCAATCTTCCTACAACATGTGCTCATTGGGAAGAAGTTATTCTCACAGTCATCTGATATCAGTGTGCTGACGACCCCTCAGGGGTGTTGTCTTTCCGGCGAAAGTTGTGACTGGTTCCGTTACAAGGGGAACTTGCTCTAGCTTCAGGGTTCATCTGTCTGCCCAGGTAGTCTGCATCTTCAGTGTGCTTTGATTATTTGGTGCTTCTGAGTCTCCGACCCCTCCTCTGACCATTTGAGCATGCAGTGGCCTTCACACTTATCTCTCCTAAAACATTCTCTCTCTCATTCACACAAACAATACATTTACACAATTGCAGCATGGAACAAAGGGGTACTTCTAAGTCACTTTAATAAAGTTACAAAATCTTTCAACATTAAACTTCTTTCTATCTGCTACAAGGCCTTACCTAACACTACCATCACTATGTAGTACAATATTCCATCCCTTCACTTCAACATGCTAACATTAAACAGAGCTGGAGCTAAGATAACAAAGCTGCCTAGCCCTGTGTGAGGCCTACATCATGTATTTAAGTTTCATCCAATCATTTTGCTATAACATACGTTTATTACAACTGACTTACTAGTTGCAAAATTCCATTCCAGTGCTACAGGGGGAAGAGGTGTCCCTTGAGTGGACATAGTGTACATCTGTACAGCATGAATTTACTATTATATCTTTATCCTTTTTGTCAAACAGCGCTTTTGTTAGATACAACTATGGCTGTGTCTACACTGGCAAGTTATTCCGGAAAATCAGCCGCTTTTCCAGAAAAGCTTGCCAGCTGTCTACACTGGCTGCTTGAATTTCCGGAAGAGCACTGATGATCTAATGTAAACGTGCTTTTCCGGAAAAACTATGCTGCTCCTGTTCGGGCAAAAGTTTTCTCCCGGAAAACTGTTCCGGAAAAGGGCCAGTGTAGACAGCACAGTAGTGTTTTCCGCAAAAAAGCCCCGATCGCGAAAATGACGATCGGGGCTTTTTTGCGGAAAAGCACGTCTAGATTGGCCACGGACGCTTTTCCGGAAAAAGTGCTTTTCCGGAAAAGCGTCCTGCCAATCTAGACACACTTTTCCGAAAATGCTTTTAACGGAAAACTTTTCCGTTAAAAGCATTTCCGGAAAATCATGCCAGTGTAGACATAGCCTATGGGTTTGACAGTGGTACAACTGCATAGGTGGTGGAAAACCCAGTGTAAATAAGGCATAGGTTATAATCATGTTTGTTAGCATTAATGAAAATTAAATAAGAAAATTTAATTAGGATCAATTAATATTTGCTTAGCACTCTGAAGATTGAAATTGCTGTATAAATGCTGAAAATTTTAGGATTTCCCTTTGCATTATTTTGTTTTGTCTTATACAGCTGTGCTAATTGGTGTATATTACTTACTCCAAATTTAAAGAAGCAGCAGGGCCTGGTAAACTGCCAGATTAATGTGCTTAATGGTAAATATTCCATAAAAAATATATACTGCCTGTTTCTTAGGGCTCTTTGTATTTTAGAACTGTTTGCACGCACAATAAATCATATTTACTTGCTAAGGAAAATGTATGGATTTATAATACAAATACTCATACATTAAGTGAAAGAGTTTCATAACTTCTCATTTTGAAGCCTAAACTGAAATTCTTGGTGTCTCTGCTTTACAGCGTCAGTGTGTAGAATATGCCTTGAAGGCACGTCCTCTGCGTAGATACATTCCAAAAAACCCTTACCAGTACAAGTTCTGGTATATGGTGAACTCCACTGGGTTTGAGTACATCATGTTTGTCCTCATCATGCTGAACACTCTTTGCTTGGCCATGCAGGTAGGAATAAAACAAGCTGTTAATTTCTTGTATGGATTCTTTGATTATTTGAGTCTCAGGAGAGTATAGCAGACATGGTGCTTGATAGGTCTTAAAAAGACACTGCCAACATGCTGTTTTTTATGAAGTAACTTTTTTTAAAACTCCATGTCAAGATAAATCAGCTTTTAAGGTGTTTCCTGCACTGGTTTTTAATTCTGTTTTTAAATCATGTAAGTTTTTTTCCTTCTGCCTGGATGATGTTCATAAAGGTCTTTTCAGTTAGAGTACGTCTACACTAGCCCCCTAGTTCAAACTAGGGAGGCTAATGAGGGTGACCGAAATTGCAAATGAAGCGCTGAATTTAAATATCCCGCGCTTCATTAGCATGTTCCTGGCCGGTCGCCATTTTGGAAATTGACTAGCCCGAAATAACTGCCTGCGTCTACATGCGGCAGAGAAGGATGATTCTGAAATAAACCCCTATCTGTACTGCCAGCAGTGCCCCACTACAAAAACCTATTGGGAGAGCACTTCAACCTTCCAAATCACACTTTGAAAGATCTCCAAGTAGCTGACCTATCACAAACCAGTTCTACAAACCAGATCCACAGGGAAGCATTGGAATTAGAATTTATCTGCAAATTCAATTTACATGCTAATGGACTCAGTCGTGATGAAAGTTGATTGGGGCAGTACCATTGAAGGTGCAAACAGCTCTCTGTGTTGTATCCTTCCTGACATGGGAGTCTATCTTTATCTGCTTTGGTTTAACTAGCCAATCTTCAGCTACTTACTGATGCTCTGTCATCCTTTCCCCCTTCCTTTTTCTTCCCTCCACCCTCCCCTTCCCCTCTCCTATTTATTTCGGGTGTACACATCCCGAACTCCAGTCATCTGAAGAAGTGGGCTGTGCCCACAAAAGCTCATGATACCATCTACATGTTTTGTTAGTCTATAAAGTGATACCAGACCATTTGTTGCTTTTTTTCTGTAACAGACTAACTTAGCTACCCCCCCAGTTATTGATATGCTTTCTAAGGTTATGGTTAGAACAGTCTTTTAAGATTTGTAACATTTCTGTATTTATAATGATGTGCATTGTATTAACAAAAACATTTCAGCCTAAAAACTGCATGTTATAAACATGTGAACATGTCTGTTTTAAACACCAGGGGCACTCTGGTACTAACAAAGCTATGTCTAGACTACATTCCTCTTTTGAAAGGAATGTAAATGAAGCAAATCGAAAGTGCAAATGAAGCACGGATTTAAATATCCCATGCTTCATTTGCATATTCATATCCGAGTGCTTTGTCGAAAAAGGGCATTTCGAAGTGAAAGCTCAATCTAGATGGAGTTCTTTAAAAAAAAAAAAACCCTTTTTCGAAAGAACCCGTACTCCTGAAAAAAGGAGTACAGGTTCTTTCAAAAAAGGGTTCTTTTTTTTTTAAAGAACTCCATCTAGATTGAGCTTTCACTTCGAAATGCCCTTTTTCGACAAAGCACTCGGATATGAATATGCAAATGAAGCATGGGATATTTAAATCCGTGCTTCATTTGCACTTTCGATTTGCTTCATTTACATTCCTCTTTTGAAAGAGGAATGTAGTTTAGATGTGCCCTAACTAAGAACTCTAGTACCATTAAAAAACTCAGTAGGAGACAGTGTGGAGGTGCATTATCCCAAGAGGAGAATTTGGCAGATTATGCCTGAATCATACTCCACCCTTCATGATGTAGTCCATATACAGAAAGGGGTGAGCAATCTGTTCCACCCAATATCTAAGCAAGAGGTAGTTGAAGATGAATCCTTTTTAAACAGGAATCATTATTTTGTATCTAATGTCCATTCATGCACCAAACAATCTTTTACAGAGCTATTAATGGGCCTACACTCTAATGGGCTTTATTAATGACAATCCTAAATCAGCCTACATTCAATTAATATTCTTTAATTTTTTACTTTAAAAAAGTGCCATGTTTTAATTCACAGCACTACGGACAGTCTAAGCTGTTTAATGATGCAATGGACATTCTGAATATGGTTTTCACGGGCGTGTTCACTGTTGAAATGGTTTTGAAACTCATTGCATTCAAACCCAAGGTAAGTGATTAGACAGGATTTTGGTAGGTTATCACTAGATCAATTACACATAACATTAATTTTCCATTAGTTATATATTATTGAAATAAGAAAAGAACCGACGTATTTTTCATGGTAAAATATCTGTGAAATCTTCATAGAAATGTTTATCTGATAGTGTGTCTGTGTATATATATATGTATATATATATATATATATGCATCTACAGGAAATGAGATGTAGGTGGCTATGAAAAAAATTACTTGAGTAATTGCTGAGATCTGAAATGTTTTAGAAGTCATAGAAAGGTCACTTTCTAACCCAGACAAATAATTTCCTGTTACAGGCATTACCAAACACAATGTATATTGCTACGAAATTGTATAAGGGCACGTCTACACAGCAGGCCAAAGTTGAATTAAACTATGCCACTTGAGCTACATCAATTGCGTAGCTTAAGTCGAAATAGCCTAATTTGTTTTTTGGTGCTATCTACACAGCAGGAAGTCGAAGTTGTTCCTTCAACTACTCTTACTCCTCATAAAATGAGGGTTACAGGAATCAGAGTAAGAAGTCTTTCAGCTCACCATTATTTCAAAATAATGGCTTGCAGGTAAACACACACTTTGTTATTTTGGAATAACATCAGTTATTCCAAAATAACGCTGCTGTGTAGACATAGCCTTAAGTGATTATTTAAAACATATTCATAAGCTTAAAACATTAAAGTCTACTCTACTGTAAAGAACTCCGTATGATTTTTTTGTATAAAATAGAGATATAGTGCTTGATTCTGCAAATATGCACACAAGTATTCTGCTTTTACTGGGGTTACTCATATTTAAAAGTCTTTGTAGATTTGGTCCATAGTATACATTTTAGGTTCCTGGCCTTAAAGGGACACTGTCAAAGTAATGTTATGGCCAGATTTTTGAAAGGAGTCATTAAGGTCATGAGCCAGTAGGTGCTAAAACTAGTGGTGCTGTGTGTGCTGTGACACTCTTTGACTTGAAGTGCTTTCCATCATACACAGTTTGCAATTTGGTTCAAAAGCTCTCTGGACAGTCACTATACAAATTGTTCCAGTACCCTTGCCTGAACCTCCAAGAAGATACATGCAGATATACCCTGAGCCCACATGGAGCCTCCTTGGGCTTAGTGGGACTCCATGTGGAAGTCAAGATCTACCTTCAGGCATCTCTGTGTTAGTGTGGGACCTAATTTTGGATGCTTCCATGTTCTGGATGCCTCACGTGAGACATTTTGGGTCTTGTTTTCAAACATACTGAAAATTTTCCACGAACTGAATTTTACCTTAACGTTTGAATATCAGACCCAATGCCAAAAGTTGATCACGCAAAATTTTAGGGATCCAAAATTCTAGTTACTGCTTTTGAAAATGTTAGCCCATACGTTCTTGAAAATTAATTCCTGCTTATTCTAATAACACTTTAAAATGAGTTAAGTGGAAATAAATTAGAAAAATCTAACTCAATTGTCATCATCTATGGTTTGTTCTCTTCTTACATTCCACCTTCGATAGTGAATGGGAACCAGGAAAATAAAGTAGTACAATGAAATTAGTTATTTATTCTGATAGGTTTACACCAGCATAAACAGGAGCAGAATTTGGACCAACTGACTATAAACGGAAAGTGAAACTGGCCAGTCTAGTTTTACTGATCTACCTCAACTGGGTCCAGTATGTGTCAGTGTCATGTTACATTTCCTGCTGGGGAATGTTTTTCTTAAAAATGTATATTTTCAGTTCAAGTTTATGTAGCTAAAAACATCACTAGTCTGGTCATGAATTAGGCTCCTGACTTTTTCTTGTGTAACCAAAACCTGGTATTTAAACCCAAAGTGTTAGGGTTTCAGTAACTGATTATTTATACACAAACAGGGCTTTCTCTTACAAGATTCTATAGGGTTCTGTTTAAAATTTCCCTGTTCAATATGTACATTTATTTATTTTAATGGTTATAGCCCTAGTCTTATTCAACTACTAGTTGCTTCACCACATTGACATGAATATTATCTGAGGCCACAAGAGAGATAGGGAAGCTGTGTAGTTTGCAAGAACATCATTATGCTGATTCCCTGTCTTGGCACTATTCTGTATGCTGATTGGTTACTGAAGTCTCAGATCGTTTTAGTAGCCAAAAGTGCCTATTACCATCTGTGTTTAGCATGAAGGTTGAGTCTGTTGCACACTTTACCATTCTTTTGTGGTATCAGGACTGAGATTACTATAAAAGGTGGTATATGGTACTATCCCTGAAGACAAGTCAGAAGTTTCAGCTAGTGCAAAATGCAGTGGCCTTATGGTAGCAGCCTATATAACATCAGTGCTCTGCAGACTGCCTGAACTTCCTGTTCAGGTCTGGATGTTATTCAAGGTGTTGATATTGATCTGCAAGACTTGTGCTGTTTTGAATCTAATTATGAGAGACTTTGCCTCTCCCCAGAAGAAGAGCTCTTGATGGTACATTGTCACCATGGGTCTATATGTTTCAATATCTGGGGGCTGGAGCCAGGGGCACAGGGGCAGGGCCTCAGCTGGAGTACTGTGTCCAGTTCTGGGCGCCACATTTCAAGAAAGATGTGGAGAAATTGGAAAGGGTACAGAGAAGAGCGACAAGAATGATTAAAGGTTTAGAGAACATGACCTATGAAGCCAGGCTTCATGAACTGGGCTTGTTTAGTTTGGAAAAAAGAAGATTAAGGGGGGACATGATAGCGGTTTTCAAATATCTAAAAGGGTGTCACAAGAAGGAAGGAGAAAATTTGTTCCTCTTGGTTTCTGAGGACAGGACAAGGAGTAATGGGCTTAAAGTGCAGCAGGGGAGGTTTAGATTGGACATTAGGAAAAAATTCCTAACTGTCAGGGTGGTCAAATATTGGAATGAATTGCCAAGGGAGGTGGTGGAATCTCCCTCTCTGGAGATATTTAAGAACAGGTTAGATAGACATCTGTCAGGGATGGTGTAGACGGAGGTTGGTCCTGCCTTGAGGGCGGGGGGCTGGACTCGATGACCTCTTGAGGTCCCTTCCAGTCCTATTATTCTATGATTCTATGATAAGGGGCACACTTGCCCCCCACATCTTTCATAGGGTCCATATATTCCATTATGTCTTCAATTTTTTACTACCACTCCCAACTTTCTAGACTTTGAATATAGTCAGGCTAGGAAAGGAGTCAATGCCATTTATAAATCTAAATAGAAAAAGATATTTTTAAAATGGCAGGATCTTTATTAGTATTAGAGTCAATAAAGGTAAATTTTAAACCAAGCCTACATTTTGGTTTGGGATTGCTGTGTGGAGGTTGATTTCTTTTATGTTGTCACTGGGTTATTTGACTTGATTCAGGGGAATTGACAGGTCTGTTTATTTAGCCCCAGAGTCTCAAAGTAATTCCCTTTGAGTTCAGTGGAAGTTAGGTCCCTAAATAACTTTGAGGATCCATGCCCTAGTTCTACCTTATAAGTTTTCAGGGGCATCAGCTAGACACTCCATTACTGCAGTGTAAATAAAGCCACATAAGCAAGTGAACTACTTAAATGTTCTGCCTAAACTATTTGACAGTGTCCCTTCAGTGAGTCAGATACTGTAAAATATGGTCACCTGTTTGCAGGCCCATTCTAACCTAATGGCAATTACAATACATTGATATTCTGGGTATAGCATTGTGGCATATAAAATCAAGGTATAGCAGACTGTCTTTCAATTCTGAAATATAGAAAATCTTCAATAAGTGCCAGATATTAAGGACTAGATCTGGCAACAAAGAGCTAAATATCCTGCGCTTTCATTGATTTGAAAATTGTGGGTATGCCTACACTAAGTTAAGCGTCTGCAGCTGACCTGGACTTGGGCTCCATGGGGCTCAGGATAAGGGTCTGTTTAACTGTGGTGTAAACATTCAGGGTCAAGCTGTAGCCCAAGCTCCAGGACTCTTCCACCTTGCTGAGTCCTACAGACTAGGCTCAAGCTCCAGCTCCAGCCTCTACACCACGATTAAATAGCCCCTTAGCCCAAACCTGAGTCAGCTGGCACATGCCAACCATGGACTTTTAACTGGAGTGTGGACATACCCTGAGGGCACAGGTAGAATTGAGCCCTAAGGTTTCAATTGTGCATTGTAACTACTCAAATATGTAGATATTAAATAAAAAAGAACATGTATTTTGTATTTAATTCTGTAACCTAGGTACTCCCCGGGGTTTGTTTTTTACTTTGCAGCATTTGCTGAATAAAAATGTGCAATGTCAGTTTAAAGGGGAGACTTGATTAAACCAAATTATTCTTCACAAGTGCCAAACTCATCTTGTCTAGTGTGTCCAGCACATTATAAAAGAAAATATTTCTATGAAATCTATAGTAATACATCAGTACATGAAAACCAACCAATACTTGAATTTGTAATGATTTTCCATGCTGCTTTACATCAGATTTGTGTAAGAAAAAAGGAAAGATGGCTAGTAAGTGAATTGGTCCTGAGTGATTGCAGTGGTGAAAAACTACTAATTTGTGTGTTAATGTTTATTTGCTGTGACTTGTCCATTTATACATTTCATCCTTCTTCAAAATCATCTTTATCTTTTTGGTTTTGTTTGCTTTTGCTTTACATATTACTTTGAACAATATTTGTCTATACTGATGGAAAAGATTTGATATAATAAACATGTCTTAAGGGAATCAATGTGAATATGTTATTTATGTGGTCAGGGCGATGGTCAAGCGAAGGCAAAGGGCGCAGCTGCCCCAGGGCCCAGTGATTTAAAAGGGCCTAGGACTTCCAGTCTCTGCTGCCTTGGGATAGGTAGTAGCCAGAGCCTTAAGCCATTTAAATCTCTGCAGGACCCCTGGCAATGTGCACCCTGTGGCCCCAGCAGTGAAGGGCTGACTGGGGAAGGTTAGCCCCTAGCCCCACCCTTCCACTTGAAATCCCACCCCTTTTAGGGGAAGTGGGATGCTGGCTCCCCGTAGGGCCCAACAAACACTCGTCAGCCCTGCATGTAACTTATATTGTAGCAATATCTAGTAAAATAAGTCCTACTTTTTAGGAAGGTGTAGTAGGGGTAGATGGCATAATGCATCAGAAGTTTGATTTTGTAGAGCATCTGACTGTTGCTTGTCTCTAGGGGTATGTCTACACTACAATGTTAGTTCGAACTAACATTCGAACTAACAACTAACGGAGGTTGTGGAATCCCCATCTCTAGAGATATTTAAGAACAGGTTAGATAGACATCTGTTAGGGATGGTGTAGATGGGGCCTCAGGGCACTCCAAGCCAGAACTTCTTTGCAAGAGGGGCACCCCTTAGAACTGTGTGTCCGGGGTGGGGGTCGGGACCCTTTAAGCGCAGCCCTCGGCTAGCCCGAGAGAGCATCTCCACGCTCTAAGTCCTCCTCTGATGCCCTGCCGGCACTGCTTCCGGCCCTCCTTAAGCCCTGTTCAGAGTCCACTCAATGTGGACTTGCTAGTTCGAATTAGCAACACGCTAATTCGAACTAGTTTTTAGTTCTAGACGCGTTAGTTCGAATTAGCTTAGTTCGAATTAACTAATTCGAACTAAGTTAGTTCGAACTAGCGCTGTAGTGTAGACATACCCTAGTTCTTTTTATATATAATTTTTTGTCATTGTTTAAAAATCAATGAAGATATTTATTTAAAAATAAATAGGAGAAATGAGGAAAATAAAATGACAATAATATCATTAGAACAGCTTCCGTGGCCATAAGTGCACTTACGAGATTACAGTGGCACCGCAGTTCTGATACAGCTGTGCTGCTGTAAGAGTGCTTGTGTAGCTTTATTGTGCTGACAGGGAAGATCTCTTGTATTGATGTAATAAAACTAGCAGTAGCAGCAGGAGCCATGTCAATAGGAGAGCATCTCTTGCCGACAACAAAGCGCTATACACACGAGCACTGATGCCAGCAAAATTTATTTTGCTCAGGGGTGTGTTTGTTTCACATGTGCTGAGGGGCAAAAGTTCTGTGGACATACGTGCTGGTATAGATCTGACTCAGTATGATCAAGGTGGTTTCCCATGATATCTAACGTAAATTTTAGGAAAGACTTGTTCATGGAGGTAGGTTGGGCAAGAGTGAACCTCAGGGAAGATGGATTGATTGAGCAGGTGGTTTCATAACTGGATGTGTTTGGGATGCTAAATACAACAGTTATCTTGTCTTGGAATTGATGGCCAACCACAGGTAGCCAGTTAATACAACACAAAGAGACAGTAGCAGTGACTAGAGTGATGCCCTTCCCCCACTTGCAATATGAAATAGTAATGTTACTTATGTTCTTCCGCAGGTGATTGATAGTTAAAAATACTATCTGTAAAGAGTTGTGTAAGTGCAGATCATTGATAAGGTCAGACAGTAGCAGATATGGAAATAGAACTCAGGCTATTGTGACTTTCAGCCATATGCTCCTTGCCCTTTCTAATCCATTATACAGAGCTCTCTCCTTCACAGAGAACTCCTTCAAAAATCTCAAGAGTGAATTTCCACATAAAAATAGATTTTTGATTTCACGTTTCAGAGTGAAAATTTTTCAACTGTGTAAGTTTATCAAAAATATCTATCCTCCAGAAAGTGCCAAATCTTGAGAAACAAATTATACGTATTTTTTATATTATATAATTTTTCTATTTTACTGATTTTGTTTTTTTAATCTTTACAGTAAATGGTGTGCTAATAAGAAAAGTGTATACTATCGACATCAGTTTTAGATTAGCATGCTTGATTGTTTATCAATTTTGGTATTTTTTTTAAATTGCTCTGAACTATAAGCTAATGCTTTTTTTTATAAAGGCACGATTAACTATGGAAGCAAATTAGATGTTTTCCTAATATTTTGATTTTCCAGTGATTCTAGGTTGTTGCCATCAGTAGGAGATCCAGATAGATTTAAGTTTTCTCCCAAAGTGTATGTGGGGTCCACTCTAGATTCATTAGCAGAGATTAGCTGGTAAAACAGTCATCCCATAGGTTTTTTATATTGAAGTCTGAGGAAATTGCAACAGTGCATCTTTATTTCTTCAGTAACCAGATAAGATGCAAATATAGTTGTCAGAGAAAACCTATACATCTGTATTTGCCATAGAGTCAGATCTGACACATTCATGCATCTGGATTTGTTCTTAGTGTCCGGATTTAATCTCAGTGTAACTAAGAAAAATGCCTCTACAACATTTCTGTTAAATCCTTCTTTGTGACATCCAGCCCGTTGTGAAGGACCCATGGGGCAGTGATGAATTAGTCCCTAAATCATTCCTACTATGTTATGGCCATTTGGTCTATCAATAAAATATATATAGGCTAGAGACTATATTAATGGGGTGTATTTACAGTCAGAAGGGGTCTGAGGAAGTAGAAGTAAATGATTGATATAAATCTACCTCTTTTTGCAGTGTAGTGCCCAAGCTGCATGGTTAAGGATCTGCTCCTGTTCCTATTGAAATAAAAAATAAACTCATTGATTTCAGTAGTGCAGGATCAAACCCCAAACGCTAATCCATTTTGGATAGGCCAACAGAGCATCTGGAAAGTTTGGCTGTGCTTGAGTTAGTGCACTAACAGGCATGGGAAGAGTCATGGGAGGTGGCTCAGACGAGCTGCCAAGTATGTACCCAAAAAATCAGCAAGGATTGTGCTGTAGCCTGAGCTGCCACCTATATCACCAAGGCCATATTGCTATTTTTTTTGCATGGTAGCTCAAAGAGAGCTAGCATGTGTATGTCTATCCAAGCTGGGAACTATGCCTCCCAGCTGCTACATAGATATTTGAGTTACTAAGCCCTAACTCTTTTCACTAAGTTACAACTCTACTCTACAGAGTTCTATATAATGGCTATTTGCCACCTAGGTACTTGTAAGATGTGTGTATACACACACACACACATATATATATATGTATGCCAAAAATATTTACAAAGCCAGCATGCATTTGTAAAGAACAAATCGTGTCAAACCAATCTGATAGCTTTCTTTGATATGATAACGAGTCTTGTGGATAAGGGAGAAGCAATGGATGTGGTATACCTAGACTTTAGTAAGGAGTTTGATACGGTCTCGCATGATATTCTTATCAATAAACTAGGCAAATTCAACTTAGATGGGGCTACTATAAGGTGGGTCATAACTAGCTGGATAACCGTACTCAGAGAGTAGTTGTTAATGGTTCACAATCCTGCTGGAAAGGTATAACAAGTGTGGTTCCGCAGGGGTCTGTTTTGGGACCGGCTCTCTTCAATAACTTCATCAACGATTTAGATATTGGCATAGAAAGTACGTTTATTAAGTTTACAGATGGTACCAAGCTGGGAGGGGTTGCGACTGCTCTGGAGGATAGGGTCATAATTCAAAATGATCTGGACAAATTGGAGAAATGGTCTGAGATAAACAGGATGAAGTTTAATAAAGACAAATGCAAAGTGCTCCACTTAAGAAGGAACAATCAGTTTCACACATACAGAATGGAAAGTGATTGTCTAGGAAGGAGTACGGCAGAAAGGGATCTAGGGGTTATAGTGGATCACAAGCTGAATATGAGTCAGCAGTGTGATGTTGTTGCAAAAAAAGCAAACATGATTCTGGGATGCATTAACAGGTATGTTGTGAGCAAAACACAAGAAGTCATTCTTCCGCTCTACTCTGCACTAGTTAGGCCTCAGTTGGAGTATTGTGTCCAGTTCTGGGCACCGCATTTCAAGAAGGATGTGGAGAAATTGGAGAAGGTCCAGAGAAGAGCAACAAGAATGATTAGAGGTCTAGAGAACATGACCTATGAAGGAAGGCTGAAAGAATTGGGTTTGTTCAGTTTAGAAAAGAGAAGATTGAGGGGGGATAGGATAGCAGTTTTCAGGTATCTCAAAGGGGGTCACAAGGAGGGAAAAAACTTGTTCATCTTGGCCTCTGAGGATAGAACAAGAAGCAATGGGCTTAAACTGCAGCAAGGGAGATTTAGGTTGGACATTAGGAGAAAGTTCCTAACTGTCAGGGTAGTCAAACACTGGAACAAATTGCCCAGGGAGGTTGTGGAATCCCCATCTCTAGAGATATTTAAGAATAGGTTAGAGAAATGTCTATCAGGGATGATCTAGACAGTATTTGGTCCTGCCATGAGAACAGGGGACTGGACTCGATGACCTCTCGAGGTCCTTTCCAGTCCTAGTATTCTATGATTCTATGATTCTATAGTATACACATACACACATACATATACACACGTGTGTGTGAGTGTATACACACACATCTTACAAGTACCTACATGGCAAATAGCCATTATATAGAATTCTGTTTATTAGACAGTAGATTAATATATAGCAAATATATATATATTTGCTATATATGTATAAGTGTGTGTTTATATATATAAATATACTTTTCCTTCAGTTGGCAATATTGTTTGTTTTGTTTTCTCATTAGACTGCAGGTTTTATTTTAAGTAATTTCTGTTTATGCAAAACTAAACAGAAGTATGCAAATATTTGACATTTCATGTGTAATCACAAACGTTTGCACCCTGCCTGCTCTGTTCAGGGCTATTTTAGTGATGCCTGGAATACGTTTGACTCCCTCATCGTTATTGGCAGCATAGTAGACGTCGTTCTCAGTGAAGCCGATGTGAGTATACCTCAGCTTAATTCCCACAGTCCCACTTCTTACTCTGTCTCCCCACTATTTCCATCATCTGGACAAGTCACAGATTTTAATCCAACATTTCTAAGATTTGAATTTAGAAACAGGCCAGTCATAGCTCCGTTATGTTGATATGGGAAATAGCCTTTTTCACTTCCAATTATGTCAAATAGAAAGATTGTGTGTTGGAACATCAGAAAAGTTTAGAATGTTTTTGCTTATAACACTGTCCTTTTCTTCTCTTTTTCTGTTCCTGTTTTTTCTTTTTCTCTCTTTCTGCTGAATGCTTGTCCTAACAGCACTATTTCACTGATGCATGGAACACTTTTGATGCCTTAATTGTTGTTGGTAGCGTCGTTGATATTGCTATAACAGAAGTTAATGTAAGTAACAACTGTTCATGCACTAAAAAGTAATTGCTGTCATCAATACAGAAAATGTAAACTTTCCCCCATAAATCCATTTTTACATTCTGGAGCAAAAGATTAAGTATGATACAGATATAAATATAATTATAACTATAAATAGATATATACACATATATTCACTTACAGATATAAAATAGTACAACAATTAGGGTTATTTTTCACACACGTATTCTAAATATATTTTAAATTATTATTTTTTTAAATAAGGGGAAAACACAGGCTTTTGCTAAAACCAATTTTAATTTGAAGCCCAGTTATTTTTTGTGAGTAATTTGATCAGTCAGGCATCTATTAGTGATTTTTACAGCTTAGTGATCTAAGCCAGTGATCTAATAAGCCAGGTACTTTCATGTGGTAGTCCTATGTTTGAGAATGATCTATGAATTCATTTCTCTCAGCTGATAGAATAAGTCCTTGTCTACACTATGTGGTGGGTCGACACTGCAGCAATCGATCCAGCAGCCGTTGATTTATCATGTCTGCTATAGACATGATAAATTGATCTCCAAGAGTGCTCCCGTCAACACTGGTACTCCACCATGAGTAGCCAGCATCGACGGGAAAGCAGTAGTCCCTGCTTACCTTACCATATGCAAGATGCCACAGTGAGTATGCTAACTTCAGCTACACTATATGCTTAGCTGAAATAGGTCAATGGTGCAGGTTAGTATAGGCAAGGCCTTAGGGGGCTCTCAGTTGCTGAGAAAGAGCATAGCACTTATGACTTTTTTTCTATCGTCTTTTGCTCTTTCCTTACTCCAGGAAATAGTTCTGGAGTTTCCGGGCAATTTGAAAAGTTTGTGAATTCCATAAACTCATCTTTGACTGGCCAAAAATTTGAGTCACAGCCTCTTGAGAAACAGTTGCATAGCTTAGATCGACTTACTGCGGTAGTGTTGACTTTCAGATTTCATGCTGAGTTTGCACAGTTGTCAATTAAGGGGAAAAAATCTTTTTATTAGAGGAGTGAGTACATTTGAACTGAAGGCTAGGACTATAACAGAATTTAATATGTCTTATGTGACAATAAACATGAACAATTCTCAAAGGATAATAGCTCTTCGTTGGCTAGATTTTCAAAAGTAGCCTCTACATTTGTGAGTCCAGAATTCGCTGTCATGGTTTTTGAATGCCCAACTTTTTAGATATCCTAAACTTGGACTCCAAACTTGGAGTTCAGTTCAACTAGTTATTTATTACCCAGCTTGCACACACAAATGTTTTGTATGAACAAGTATGATGTTTGGGACACTCAGAAATATGGCCACCTAAAACTGTTTTTCCTAAAAGCTGCAAAATGTATTCATACATGAAGGGGTAATGAAAATTGCATATGATATAATTATGGTAGTCTGTGGTTAACACTGTGTCAACAGTGGTTTATTTGACAACATTACTTGTAAATACAACTGATTACTGCTAAGCTTTCATGATGAACTTTATGACTTTGTACTAATTTACTTACTTGGCTTGAAAATTTGCTGCGGATAAAGTCAGTGATCTCTAGTTCAGTGCATGTGCTGTATTTTGTGTTCAACTTTGAAGTGTTAGCATGCTCATTTCTTAGCCTTTCATGACTTCTCACCATAGAAAAGACTCATTGTTGGTGTTTTCTACTACTACAAAGGAAGCTCTTTTTTCATATACTAAATATTGTCTGTTTTTACTTTGTATGACCTTTAGTGTGCTTAATTTGTGTGTGAAAGAGCAGGCATGTTAC